TTTTGCATGGTGTCATGCTGCCGCATATCAAGCAAGATGCCTGCTAAAAGGAAACAGATTTCGCTGACCGACAAGGTGGAAATAATTCAGAATTATCATAAAGGGGTTTCGCAAACAAAACTAAGCGAGGATAATGGATTGGCGAGGAGTACAATCTCCACAATCATACATAACGCAAACAAGATCATGGCCGAGTATTATTGGGGTAATTGTGTGACATATAGTGAAAGAAATTAACAAAAGACAGGTGTCTATTCAGAATAGGAATTATATTCTTCAAACTACACAAGCTGTATGTCATAGTGTCAACTTGAATGGTGTTTTATAAAAGTTTTTTTATATACATCTTGTGTTCTATCATTCATTTTGAGGGACTTGGTTACAACATACTATGGTTATAATGTACAAATTCTTAATCTCCCCCGAGGTACGTTGTAACGAAGTTCGACTGTATTATTCACAGAGCCAAACCCTTAAATTTAGTGAAACAAAAAAATGTGTTGTGGTTTCTTAATTTTTTCCGCAACTGTATGTCTGGAATTACAGCTATGGTCTTTGGTGGGCTCCTGCAGTGATAACTAGCTGCTCGGGTCCCTTGTCGTATGGAGAGCTTTATGGTATGGGGCAAACCATAAAACTTCATCTGGATCAGATAACTGTCATGATCATCCAGAACAGAAGACTATTTTTTGATCAGGTGAGGAGTGAGGTCCGGAAAGTTGTAGGTGACTTACCAATCATTTCTCTGGATGTCCAGGAGCCTACTGCAAATGACTACTGGTCAGTGGACTGTTGCAGAAAAGGAGATTTCAGTTGTTCGTGCCATGCCTTCTATGAGGAGGCCGACCAGAGAGAGACATTCCCCTATTTACCTATAAGACTTTGTTAAATAGCACAGTGATTTTTTTCACTGTCATCTGAATCAAGGCATCTTTTGCTTATTTACACATTGTGTTACACTTGCAGTAGTTGACAGATTGGATCATTTCATAGTTTATTGTATTATTCTGTAGACCTGTGACTCTAGTTGCTAAATTTGTTGCAGGTGCGGGATGTTTATGCTTAAGAGGGGGAGGATGTAGTATACGGATTATTTTATGTTGTTATATTAATGTGAATCATATGTGTGATTGGTGGATGTCCGGCTCCATTCATTGGTACAACAGAATGACATGGGAGAAGAGATGTTCTCAGGTAAAAATGGAAAAAGGGAAAGTTTGTTCCCCTTCTGTGAAAGTTAAAAGTCAATTAAAACTGATTAATTCTTGATCTGTGTTGCTACAATAACTTTTTTCAAATCAGACTGGTCATCAGAGACAATCATCTACATATTGCTGCATGACGCAATGGTCAGCACCACGGGCCTACCCAGTAAAGTTAATGAAACACATGAAGTGTTCATCATTACTAAACCATTAATTCACTTGTGATACTCTTTTCTATAGAATCACAACACTTTAAGCCTTTGCTAATTATGAATTCATCATTACCCAATGAGTAATTCAAGAAAAATGTACACCTTCAAGTAGTCAACGCGATAGTAATTGTAAATCATTAAGTCACTATTACTTCATTATCTGTTCACTGATTTGTTACCCCCTGAAATAAAAGCAAGCCAATGATATGTAACTAAAACAGTACTTTATTACACATAAAACATGTTTTATTAGAAAGACATAGCTGATGGCCTGTTCTAATAATCAATACAAGTATTCACGTTCACCTTACAGGCAGTCATATCAAATGCATGGACCCAAAATGAAAGTTTGTGGATGTAACCTGCATTGAGTAGACAAGCACAATGCCACACTGTATTAAAAGCTACAACCTCGGGCATGAGAGGCAGGCAAGGGGGCTAAAAGCCATGGGTGCCAGTATCTGTCGCTAGCATGTCTCTTAAGGTGTCAGGGAATGAGCTTCACTTACTGCACACCATTGTACCCACTGGCTACCATTACTTGGAATAGGTCATTTGTTGGCATATAAATTAATGAATGAAGTAACTGTGAATTAACACTCCTTAACAGATGACCTAGTAAGTGTGAAATTATCACAAAGTAATTGTGACTTTGTTTATGGTAATCAGCAGGACTTCATGATACATTTTGCATGAATTCATACATTAAATCATCATCAGTCATGAATTATATAACAATTACTTAAGTATTTGATTTGTACCCATATAAAGTGTTACCAAGGAAACCAAGCGAGGTTTTATTTACAAAATTCTAAATTAGATGTACATTTTCACAAAAATCCAGGACAATTCGTGTCCAAGGAAAGAATGTTACTTTTCCTGGATAGCTGCTCAAAAAACAGGACAATCCCAGGAAAAGAAGGACAGGTGGTAACCCTAGGTTATAGACTAATCTGAAGTCTAGATGTTCTGGTATTAACACTCCGGTACCTGTCAGATTTGGTGAGCAGGATGGGTGGGATAACTGATGACACTGCTAGCCCATCTGCAGGTTCTCCTGTTATAAATATCTCACAATGAAGCCCAGATGAATCCTAATACAGTAGAACCTTGGAACTTGAACGCCTCTTAACTCGACCAACTCGGACATCGAACGAGTTTGTCTGTTGAATTTTTTTCGACTTGGACCTTGACCGGCATCTTGAAACTTGACCGTTCTTGCTAAAACTTGTATGACACGTTCAGCTCTACTAATTCGGACCTTGAATGGGTAACTGCAACTTGACCGAAAACTCAGAACACAACAAAACAAAACACACCTGCTAAAATTTGTACGGATTGAGATAGGTCTCTGATGGGCTGAAACGAAGGCACACAGACCTACTGGGATGCTGATGCCTTTGAATCGCTCTCAGTTTTGCGGTACTTCTCCAATGAGTTCGCCATATGAAAGCTGTGTTCCTGTGTTCGGTGTGAATTTTTGGTGCTTTATCTACAGTACATTTAGTGATACAGTAATTAGGGATGAGCGAGTACAGCATTATCTGTATCTGTATCCGTATCTGTTAACCATATGAATTATCTGTATCTGTAT